TGAGTTGAAGCAGTCCTCTTGAGTACCTGGGACTGCAAGCACTCACCACTATACCTGGCTATTTTTTTTTTTTTTTAATTTAAGATAAAAAGTCTTGCTGTGTTTCCCAAGATGGTCTCAACCTCCTGGCCTCGAGATGCTCCCCCACTCAGCCTCCTGGGTAGCTGAGATTATCACAGTTGTGAGCCACTATGCCCAGTCTAATTATTACTTTTTAATTTCCTGGTTTTACAGCTAGTCTATAAGCTCTGTGAATTCAGGTATCATCTCATTTAACTCTAGTACACTGCCAGTTAAATGGTAAATACTCAATAAGAATTTGTTGAATGAATGAAATTATGCTATATTTATATTTTTCTACCAAAAATGTAACTTTATTAAATGGCCACTCATAAGCACTGTTAGTTATTAATATTAACATAAGCATCTAAAATTTAAAGAAATGCAATGCCCTCTAAAGGGCACCCTTTTTCCTAATCTTTAACTGTTCTCTGTCATGACACACTTTGCTCCTCTCCTTTCCTATGGCCAACTGGATAAAATATAACCTCCTACGTCGTTGATCACTTCCTTCAGCCTGCCTCCAGTGTTCTTGGAGGCATAACCGTTTCATGACAAGAGTACGGTGCTGATGACAATTTGCTGTTTCCAGCTTATTAAAAGAGATGACTGATTTATTTTCTTAGTGTACTGACACTTGCATCTCTTTCAGTTATCTTCCTTGTCCTCGTGCCTTCACATCATACCTTTGAACTTCTGAAGTCTCTTCTTTTTACTTCCATGGCCATACATTCCCATGGTTCTCCTGACTTTTTGGCAACTACACTCTGCTGCTTTTGCTAGCTAGCATTGCTGCCTTTGCTGTACCTTTGCTATGAGCATTTCCAAGATTCAACCCTTGCCTTTTTGCTCTTTATTCCTTGTGTTTAAAAGTCTGTTTTCATGGTTTAGCAATGCCAACAACTTTGAAATCTCTTCCTTTCCTCTCATTTGAAATGTATTCTCATCTCCACTGTTTGAGACCTTTTCACTTAATGTCATTACTTTAAATGCTGCTGTTCAATAGTAACAGTATTATCTACCCTGCTTTTTACTTTTTCATGACAGTTCCCTCTACCAACTTGGTTATAACTGACACTCATTTTTCTAGGTATCATGTAGACTTGAAACTTTGACTCTTCTCTATATTCAGCCATTCTCCCATGGTTTTTTCTTTTCCCTGTTACTACTAAGTATCACATGATGTGCTCCTCCCTAATGCATTCTATTTTTTTATTTAAAAAATTTTTTTGCCCCCGCCCCTCCCACCGACCCTGTCTCTCTTTCCCCGGGTGATCCACAAGAAGAAGTTAGCTCCATTCAGTTAACCCTTATGTCCCCATCATGCTTTGTATACACTACTTTTTTGTATGTTTCACACTGCATCATGATGTGAGACTTTGGGTCAGTAAATCCCAAATGTGAGCTCCTTGAGAGCAAGAAGAGTTTGAAAAATTCCTTTTATGTTAGAGATTTTGTTAGAATTAACATATGAAGTTTAGATTAACTTCTTTATTGAGATGTTTTAAGGATTCAGCAAATTAATATTTGTAAAGACATGTCTAGTATTGATATTTAATTAGTGATGGTAGTAGAAAAACTAGTTTTAATGTCTTCATATATGTAATCTTTTTATACCTTCTCAACATTTTAATTCCTTCATGTTTGTTAATTTTGCTTTCTCAAGTATGTTTTATCAAAGCTATTTCTTTAAACTTATTATTAACCCCTGTAACCTGTAATGTTGTTTATATAGTCAATATCTTAAAAAATCATGAAAGAAGTAAAATACATTGTCTCGAAATCCACTAGCAGCTATTAATTGATTGCTTAATAGTGAAAAATTAGTATATGCCATTTTAGCAGTTTGTGCTGTTTTATGTAAAAATGGCCATAATGGTGATATTAAAAAGCACATATTTAAATGGGATCATGGCATGTTATAGTGAGAACAAAGTTAACATGTTAATGTGGGGAAAAGAAACCCAAGGAATAGTGAAAGAAGCTTAAGGTGGAATAAGAGACAGGGTGGCAATAGCAAAGGCTAAGGGAATAGAAGAGAAAACAGATGTTGGAGTAGCTCCAAGCATGTTCAGAAAGTCAACAACACAACAACAACAACAAAAAACAAAACTACAACAAAAGTCCATTGGAATTGGCCTCCTGAAGATCCTAAGAGTGTTAGCGAAGTGCCAAAGATCCCATCAATGTTTGTAAAAGGTAAATAAAGTGATGAAATTTGAGATACAGATTTTCCATATAAGAAACTTGACCATTTGCAGAAAAAAGAAGGAGGTTAATGGGTTTAGTAAAAGCCTTGGTGAGACAGGGGGTATATTGGAGGGGATTATGATCATATAACAGACCAAATTCCAAGGATTTCTTAGAACTGTGCAGACCGTGCATGATGGGATAGCCATCTGGGGGTCTTTGTTGATAAACTGTTAAAAACGTTTCTTGTGTGAATAGCCACAAACATTTTCAGTGCTTTTTTGTTGGTTGAGTAAACCGAAGAGCACGAATGCAAAAGCAAAATTTGATGCCAAATCACAGAAGTTGCCATAAACACAGAAGTTCCCTAGTGAGGACACTGCCTGTGCCTGAATTTCATTTGTTTCTGCTGCAACCATTTCTTACATTTTTCCTGGTGACTAGCCAGATTAAAACTGTGAATGAAGACAGACTGGTCTTGCCCAGATGGTAGATGAGATACAGGTAACTTGGGTAGATAGAGAAAATATTTAGGCATTTGATTTGGAATATCATAGAATGGAAGAGATATGCTTACTCTTTTGTCATGGGGGTTTGCAACCTTAGTATATGCCTAAATCTACAGCTGCTCCTCATTTCCCAGATGGCATCTATGGCTGGGAGTACTTTTTACCATCTGCACTTCTCAAAGAGTTTGTGAACTCTCTCTTTTAATTATTGGGAATGGAAAAACTAATTGGTAAAGTGGGTAAATGATGTAAAAGATTTTTAAAATTTGAATTAGCGCTTTTTATACCTATTTAACTTTTTCAAATAAGATCAGTACTTCAAGTGCTTTTTGACCTTCATTGTTCATGTATATCTACCATCTTTGTTGTTTGCAATACTCCACAATACTCCCTAATAACTGTTTTGTACATGGATTAGTATTTTGAGCCAAATTCCAAAATTTTTGCCTCCTTCCAACAGTATAGTAAGTACTGTTGTTGGCATGTACAAAGAACAACTAACACTGAATGGGTATGGAGTCCAAACTTATGTGAATTGTTCCATTCATCTACATGCTTTTAAGTCAATAAAGTATAGTATCACAATTTGTGAAAGTAATTTAGAAAACCATACTCTTAATATGTTTTGTCAGTGTTTCCATTTATGTGAAACATTGAATAGTGGGGGAAGCAATTTCCCAGTTAGGAAATACTTTTATAACTGAAAATAATGGAATGACATCTGACTCTGAAAATGAGCATATTCTCTGTCTAGGGATTTCTAGATTTGGATGTTATTAACTTTACTTTTTCTTTTGGGTTTATGAGTCATAAATGCATTTCCTAATGATGTGTTGTAAATAAGTATCTCTGATAATCAGTAGATACAATACTTACTATCTTTTCTCTTTAGGCAGGTTCTACTGGGGAAAATTCTCTAGATAGTTTGTCCATTTATAAAATTAGACACTTGCCATCTTTGCTCATTTTCAAGTTCTCTGTTTACAAAACTATTAAGAAGGTGTGAAATGCAGCCAAACTTCCCAGTTTATGGGGAATGTCTGATGATTACATTTCCTACATGTTCATTGTTCGCACATGAAGAAATTTGGCAGCTGTGAGATTATTAAGTTTAGAGTATCCAAATCTAACCCTCACTGGGATTTTGGTTCCCTGCTTTCTGCCACCACCATCTCACCCTCTTTTATAACTCTCTTTGTGGTAAATGCTGTGGTAGCATTTCTTAAGGTTAGTGATCCTTAAATTTTCATGGTTTTTTTCATTTATCAGATGCTATGAATAAATCATAGACTAAAAAGTTCACCTGATACAGAGTCCTGTTTTCAGGCCCTAATATACCCAAACTGTTAAGATTTCTTATGTGCAAAATTCTAAATAAAGAGGTTTTATATTGGTGCCATTATTCGGAGAGGAGGGCAGTAGAGTTAGCTAATCTAAGTGTTATGATTATTTCAGAATTGCTCTGCCAGAAAGTTATGATCATACATAGAAGAGTTTGTAGCTAGCTCTGAAAGTAGTGGAAAGTGGTTTTCGTGTATTGTTTGGGTTAATTTAATTTTGATTATATTTGGTTTTTAATTCAGGTAATTTTGTTGTTGAAAACTTCAGTTGACTATTTCTTCATGGTTACTAAAGATCACTCAGTGTAGTAGTTTCAGATTTTTTTCTGAATACATGTATTAGTTTTACAGATTTAAAGATGTGAAGTTACTAAGAGAGAAAACCATGCGATTTGTTTAGTGAATCAAAAGTCAGTAGCTTCTTTGAACCTAAGTGCCATTGATAGTTAAATAGATACTGAAGCTACGGGCAGGCTGGATTGATAAGAAAAAAGGAGACAAAGAAATAGGAATTTGGGAAAGAACTGTGCAAACAGGAAAAGGAGAGGGCAACAGAACAGAATTAGTACTGCAGTTCCATAGGTGCCACCTCAGGTGCTGTCTGCCATCTCCTGAAGAATTCAATAACAGTTTGCAAATGGTCAACACTACCATTTAGTTTCCTGTTTGATATTTCAGTGCCTTCTATGTATTTCTTGTCTATTTTAAAATGATGATACTGATTGTTTTATTGCTCTGAAGGTTATTCTGAAGTTTAGCATAATTTTACTTGTTCAGTAAATTATTTGAATAAAAGTTCTGTGAATGAACATTCTGATCATTATTGTCTTTGGTGATTTTTTCTGCAGTGGGAATAGAGAATTTATAATTTTAAACCCTGTCCTTTGTGTTTCATTCACAGGCTGTAGAAGAAGAAGATAAGATGACACCTGAACAGCTGGCAATAAAGAATGTTGGCAAGCAGGTGAGGTGTACTGTTAATAAGTTGTGCAGTTGCATAATAACATGTTCTTAGAGAGTTAAAACCATTTTGGGGCCTATATAATTTTTTTTCCTGTCCATTCTGCCTTTTTCTTCTGTCACATAAATGTGATACTAATTGTAAAGGTCAGGTTCTCTTTGCCATCTATGGAGAAGTAAATCACAAATACCTATGAGATACTATCTTTGTTGAAAATAATTTATTAGAAACAAATGAGGACACGTGTCCTGAATTAATTTTGCAAGTATTATTTTTACATACAGGCAAACAATAGAAGGATAGATTTATTTTATATGTAACAGGTTTTGTTAATCATGTACTTTATACTTCATCAATTTGTAGATAATGTTCCTGAGAAAGGTTAGAGCCTTTATTGGGTTATACTGAGTGAAGAGAAAGGGCTTTAAGTATTTGCTCTTTCACTTTTCTAAAATGAAATATATATTTTAGCCTCTATTATCTGAGGGTGGGGGAAGACACCAACCAATTAAAGGAATCTACAGATTAATTAGACTGTTTTTTAAAGAATGTTGATTACATTTTTTCCCCATTTCATGGAACATGGTTATCATATTGCTGATGTTGGCAGAATCTTGATATTTCAGATGCAAGACACTAAGCTGTCTTTGCTTTCAGCCATCCTACCATATGCTCTGATCCCATCACATCTCACAAGCTATGTAGGTTTGGGCCAGGACCATTCTTGGATGGGAAATCTCTAAGAATCACCCAGCTGCCACAAGAAGTAATGTAGATAACTGAGGGAAGCATGTTACCAATTCACTATAAAATGAATAACTCCAACAGAGCAGTAGGGGCAAAGGTCTGACTTTATCATATGTCATAAATGAGAAAATCAAATTTCACTACATTCTGAGTATTATAATTTAAAAACAAATACTCCCAAAAGCAAAATGAAATATAATTCATTTATTTTCTCATCTTATGTGATATCACCCTTGTTATCTTTTCCACTGTTTATTTTAATCATAATATTAGATCACCAACTTGGAGCCTTTATACTTTATAGAATTCAGTGACTGTTTTTTGAATAAATGCCTTTCTGAGGCCATAGTTTCTTGATATAGATTTAAAGCAGCAAATGAAAGGTCTAAATTAAAAATGAAACTGAAAAGTATGTAATTGGCAAAGTTTAATAATCATCAGAGTCATTTTTAAAAATATAGTTATTACCTCACTGGTTTGGCCTACTGCATGGCAAAAACAAAACTGTCTGTAATGGAATTAAACCAATATCTTTTTTCTCCTGCCAGTCTTTCTCAGTCTTTTTCACCTAAAATGCCCTAAGACTTATTTCTGAAATAAAAAATATATTGTAGTCTAGTCACTTGAAATTATTTGTAACATGCTGTATCTCTGGGTTGTTTAAAAGAATAGTGTATTAAAATAGGGTTAGAAAAGCACTGCCAAGAATTAATTACAGTAATGGAACATTGTTTAAAGTTAGGAGTCTTGGATATTTTAACAATAGCCATAAGAATATAATCCTTTATATTACAATTTTTCTATTGTGTATAATATATATCCCTTATTTCAAAGCTTTCAAATTTTGCCCAAATACTTAATTCCACTTTAAATATAAATACATACTAAACATTTTAATTTAAATTCCTTTATTTCAATACAATTTTAAGCCTTCTTTTTAACTCAGTCTATTTCAAAAATAGATTTGATCAGGTTTAAGTTAAAGGATTGCACCTATATAATTTTCTATGATACATTTTTTTTCAAAATAGCTGCATGAAACATTCTTAACATTTTAGAATTGATCCAAATTGTATTTAAATTCTTCAGCTACAAACAGTAACTTTTGATCCAAGAATATTTTCTGAATCATTTAAAGCACTACTCTTGAAATATTAAAATTGTACAGAATTATGAGTTTTGCTGTTATAAAACCTAGAAGAAGTGCTGAGAATTCACACTGAACTCTTACCTATTGGTATGTCCACTTTGAATTAAGCATTCTCTCAGACATTCAAACTATATGGATAGTAGAGAATACCCACATATATTCAGACAGGTATAGGTATATAAATGAACTTTAAAAAAATCAGATTGTGAGCTGTATAGAATTCCTTATAAAAATCTCTGGTACAGAGTCATTGCATGTGTAAATCAAGCTTTCACTGTGTAATCTATTATTTTATTAGCTATGCAACTTTTTAACAGATTTAGAAATTCTAAGAATGTAATGATATACTAGTAAAGTGAAATTTGTAAAATACGTGGTAAGTTAGGTCTGGCTTTCTTTACCAGTTTCATCAGCTACTGAAACAATTTTAAGTAATTTATCTACCAATAATATGGTTCTTTTTTCTCTTTCTTTCCTTACTTTTGTTCTTTTAGGACCCCAAACGTCATTTGGAGGAACATGTGGATGTACTTATGACTTCAAATATTGTCCAGTGTTTAGCAGCTATGTTGGATACTGTCGTATTTAAATAAAGCAACGAAAAACGCTATTAGTGATGCTTTCAGTGTATATTCTTCTGTTGCTCCTAATGCTCAAAATCAAGGGACCTCTGAAGGTGTACTTGGTTAAATATAAGACATCTGGCATCATTTGCAGCACTGTAACACCTTCAGTCTCAGTTGTGTAATTACTTCTGTTTCTTTAGTCAGGGTCTTTGCAGATTCTAAACTTATACATGAATACATCAAAGTGGATAAATTTTGTTAAGATCTCATTTAATATTTGAAAAAATCAGTAGCACAAATATATTTTGATTGTTGCTTACAAAATAAAATACATTTACAATCTATGCCTCCTGAGGTCTTTTTGACAATGGGTGGGATTGATGAAATAACATTTGATAGTGGTCTAGAAATCTCACACAAAGATATATTTCCCTTTGCATTTTAAGATCTTGTAACACATAAAACATCAGTGTAACAAAATTTCACAAATGTATAATGATTTACATTAATGAGTGGCTATCTAATTAGTGAGTAACTCAGAAAAAATTGTTGACATTTTATTAGCATTTGTCATAAGCTAATATTGTATACTCAATATCTTATAAACATAGTATACTTTTAGGATTTTGGAGGAGTACATTTACAAAGAAAAAGGGAAGCAATTTTAATTTATACTTTATCATGTTTTAAAAGAGTACATTCTACCAGCAGTTTTGAAACTGGGAATTGGCTGCTGCAAACTCTACTGGACTTTCACCTAAAATAACCACAGAAAGTATGTAATGTCTAAAAAGCAAAATGAGAAAAGTAGTCATAATGTGAGTTTAATATGAATTTATAAGCAATAATTTTGTAATTGTTTGGTCTCACGTTTTCTAAATTAGGACTATCCAGTTTTCTAATAAAGAAAAAAAATAGCTAATAGCAGTTTTTATAGATGACTTTATCTCTGAACCTACTTCTAATGTGATGTACAAAAGTAACTGTCCCTGTTATGGCTCAGCACCATACTGGTTATACCAAGGAGTATGGCAAAAGATACGGAGACAAAGATCTAATTCTAGTCTGCACCCTTGCTTGTGAAAATACGGTGAGAATATCACTAAGGCTTCATTAAAAGAAGGTTTTACGTGGGGACTTGGAATTTAACTTAATCTACTAGAAGTGTTATGAGTGCTGTGATAGATGAAATTACTGTCCTACTGGAACAAGTCTAGGCTCTTATTGGTTGCCTACCGAAGTCACCAGAAACTGAAAGTAGAAATGGCTTAAATTCCCAGTATGTTTCACAGTATCTTTTTTGGTGGACCAAGAGGTATTCTGAGCATTTCTTGATTGTGCTGTGGTTTCTTGTTTCAGATATAGTGATAGTATATCCTATGTAGCACATGTAATATGTATTAAGTCGTTGCGATTACATTTTGAAAATTAAAATACAAGTGGAAGTTAGTGAAGTTTTCTTTTGCTTCATTCAAATGTGTGCAGACTTTTTGAATATGATTTTTCTCTTTACAAATAAGGTTCTATAACTTATTTCACAGATGTTAATTAATGCTAGTCAATTTTATTTTTTGGGGTACAGTGTGTCCTCAGAAGAAGGCCTTAGTATTTCAAGGCTATTCTCAATATTTGGATTAAAAGGTTTTTTTTTTTCTCCCCCATTTAGTCCTCTGAAAATATCCTGAGGCTAACCTTGCCTGTTTTTTGCCCTTATTTGATCACCCTATCTTCCTGGACTCCCTAGAGTCACACACCACATACTGTCACTTGGTTCATGTTGGTGACATTCCCAATTTCAGAACCTTGTCTAAATATTTCCTAGCAAAAACCTACATTACTTTTTGTAGATTTGGAGTCAATCAAAATCAGGATGCCCTGAGAGGAAGCTCAGTGAACACCTTTTGTCTTGAACACCTCTGTCTTTTTTTACAGCTATTTTCGCAGCAGCCTGATGTCCCAGGCCCAGTTAGGCATTGAAAAGATGTGTTAAATCACAAACTCAGTAAGCTGTTTAAGACTGTATGTGTGTGAGCACACACATGCAGGCCTGCTTATGTGAACCTATCTACCCCTCCACCATGCAGAGGTAAAGCAGCTCTGGAAACAAAACTATTTGTCTGTAGTGCAGAAATGTCCCTGTTAGAAAAACAGAGTAGTATGGGGACTGAAAAGCTCTGGCCTCAATATTCAAAGCGTGATCTGCCTGGACCAATAGCATCTGGGTCTTATGGAAACTCATTATGTATACAGAAAGCAAGCCCCACCCCAGGCCTACTGAATCACAATCAAGAAACCTGGTGTGGCTCATACACACTTTAAGGTTTGAGAAGCCCTGGTCTTTGGAAGTATGGTTCACAGGCATGTGTGGTGATTCTAAGGAAAGCCTTCATTTTCTTTAGCATATATAAATTCAAGGCATAGCCTATATGTGAGCAATCACTGTATTTAGTATTGATAATCCAAAGTGGGTCAGAAGCATATTAATTCAATTCCTTAAAAACTCTGAAGAAGGTGCACTCTGCCTTTTCTATCCTTTAACACCTTAACATTTCATTTTAGCATTCTTCTTCTCCTTTTTTTTTTTTTTTAAGCAGTTTAGGGTATTGAGAATGGCAAAGCCTCAAAAAGAGCCCAGATGATGTCTCACCTCTTTACACACTTAAGGTTCCATCCCACTGAGAACGGAGGAAAGTACTGTCTTTCGAAGCCAAGGAGGGAGAAGCACTCTTGGACATAAAAGTTGAAGATGGAAGAAAGAAGGAAACAAAAGTAGCCAAAAGTAAGAAGTCAAAAGCCTCTCATGAAGGCAAATGGCGGTAGAAGGTCAAGGAAGGAAAACAAGTGTCAAATGGTGTTCCCTACTCCCCTCCCCCGCACCCCGAGTCAACGGCTAAGACTGCTTGTTTATGAAGCTTCCTGGCCAGGAGCTGAGGTTTGCTTTCTAAAGGAAAAATGGGTCTCGCTTTCTTTTTTATCCCAGAAAATTGTCTCGGCTTTAGTCTGGGACATCTGGTCATCAACCTGCCCTGCCCAGGCCGCCTGCGCAGGGCCTTGCCCGCGGCGCCCTGATGGAGGCCGCAGCTGGTGCCCTCTGCAGCCAAGGCGCCCAGCCCGCCTCGAGGGGCGCAGTCTCGGCTCAGCGTTGACCGCTCGGCCCACTGAGGCGCCGCTCTGAAAATGCACCACAGTGGCGAAGCAGCGAGTTTGGTTAACCCGTCTCCGCCCATGTTCAGGACCCACCGATGTCTCCCAGAGCTGCTTTTCCTCCGGGAGCGGCCCCGGCCTGGGGAGGACAGACGCGCTCGCTCCAAGCCAGAGGCTCCCCTGGCTGAAGTGCCCAGGCCGCGCCCCCAGCACGGGAAGAGCGTGTGCCCCTGAGGTCTGCGCCAGACGCAGCTCACCCTGCGTTCCCTTAGTCCCCCGGGCGGAGCCCGCCCTCGGGCTCGCCAGCTCTCGGGGCCGAGCGGAGATCTGGCTCCTCCTGCTAATTCCTGCGCGGCTAAGCGTCCGGGAGGAAAGCCGCGGGAGGGCAGGTCAGCGAGCGCCGGGCTGCGACAGGCAGGTTTGGGCGGATAAAAACCCTCTGCCGCTCGCTCGTGGCCCTCTGGTTCAGGCCGAGGGCTAGGCTCCTCTGTAGAGCTGGTGCTGGAAGACCTCCTTCCTACACATCAGGGTCTCTTTGGGCCTCGTGCTATTTATTTGTGCCAACCTCCTTTTAAATTGGTTCTTTTTTTTCTATTCATCCTTAGATTCATTTTCCTTTTAAAATTACTGGCATGGATGCTTTTTCTTCCCTCCAGATTATATAAACATTAAACACACACACACACACGCACACACACACACGTCTTCAGTAGCGATTACTGTGTTGACACCACTTCCACTCTGTCTCCCCAGATCAGCGCTTCTGACGAGCCCATTTGCACGGGGACTCGGCCCTCTATTTTTCTGGCGAGGCTTTTGAACCTGTCGCCAAGCCAGTACCTCAGAGAGAAGGAAATGCAGAGGGACGAAAAGGATGCATGGCGCCTGTCCCCAGTTAGATGCTCTTCAAATAATCTGCAACCAAGTTCGCTGATAAAATATTTAATAAAGACCCGGTAAACATCACTGCAAATACATTAAGGCGTTTCAGCCCGACAGCTTATGATTATTTCAAAACTTAAAAAGGAGATCATAGATTGCCACTGTTTCTGTGCTCAACCAAGAAACCGAACCTTCCTGAGGTGGGTGGATTGGTGGGTGAGTTGCTGCTTTTCGCCCCCTCTTCTCCCCCCTCCTGCTTATCGCTGTGGTTCTCAGCAGCAGGGATTTATTTATTTATGTTTGCAGTTTAAAAGGTGGGGGCGGGGGCACCGAGGACAGGTAGGACCTGCTCACAAAGCACCAGCTCAGGTGTCGTGTGCTTTTGTATTAGCTGGAAAAGACAGACTCTGGAACTTTTACAGGGCGAGAAGAGGCCACCGGCTCGCGCTTTGTATACTTTGCACTTGAAATCGTTACATTCAACTGAATATTTGGCTCATTCAGATCCGAAAAGTCTCCTAGCATCGTCGAATTCCCTCCTCCGCCCCTCCGCTCTAAAGGGGGAAAGGGGGGGAAGGTAGGAAATGTTTAGTAAATTGCACATTTTTGAATCTTCCTAAAGCAGTGGTCACAAAGCTTAAAGGTGACACAACAGTGCTCACGTAAACCAACACACATTCCCCACCCCCCAAGCCAACAATAAAATCATCCCCTTCAATTTGCCATGATCGTCGCTACCAGGAGCCAGGTGATTATCCTAATTAATGTCTATCTAATTAAATTACTGTCAGCAGTTAACCAATGGCAAGAGCCGTTTCATCGGCTGCACAAGCAGCAAGATCAAAAGTGAGCCTTTTCTGATTGCTGCATAGTGTCAATTGGCCAATCTCTTCTCCCAGGGAAAAAAAAAAAGTAAATCAAACCTTTGAGAAGCATTTGCTGGTTGAAGTGCTTTCTGTCTAGTGAGGGGGTCTGTGGATTTCTAGTTTATGATAAATAGGACTTTAAAAACCAGGGACGGGAGGGCGAGTGTTCAGGTTCTAGAGCTATGCAGCTGGAGCACTGCCTTTCTCCTTCTATCATGCTCTCCAAGAAATTTCTCAATGTGAGCAGCAGCTACCCACATTCAGGCGGATCCGAGCTTGTCTTGCACGATCATCCCATTATCTCGACCACTGACAACCTGGAGAGAAGTTCACCTTTGAAAAAAATTACCAGGGGGATGACGAATCAGTCAGATACAGACAATTTTCCTGACTCCAAGGACTCACCAGGGGACGTCCAGAGAAGTAAACTCTCTCCTGTCTTGGACGGGGTC